TCTTCTTTTTATCTTTTTGTTTTGAATTTTTAATTTGATTAATTTTTGTTTCATATTTTTTTAGGAAAACTTTTACATAATTTTTCTTTCTTTGGGTTTTGACTTTTATTAAATTTTTTAAAATACTAATTTCTTTTTATCTTTTCAATATGGCAGGAGATACATCTATTATCAATAACAGAAGTAGATCTTCAAGTTTTAATTGCATTAGTTTAACTAATCTTTAGATAATTTCTTGTAAAGAAAAAAACAAATATGAATATTAAATATAATTTTCTTTATAAGTTGAAAATATCTTATACTTCTCAAGATTTAAAGAAGTTAAATTTTAAGAAAAGTGAAGAAGTATACGTTAATTTTAACTTATAAAAAGAGTTTGATATATGTTACTATTTAATGCTTAACTCCTATAAATATTTATTGAAAAATCTATCCAATAAACAATTGTGCTAATTCAACATGCATGTATTTGTCTTTTGTAATAATGCTCATAAGTTGGAATTTAATTGTAGCATGTAGCGGAGGCATAATAAAAAATGTAAGGAGATTGCAAGCATATTTATACTTTTCCTTAAGTCTATAAATGAATAACACACAATATTTGTCAATGTTGTACTAAATTAAATGGGTTAATAAAGGCAAAAACATAAAATAAAGCTTAATATGTTCGTAACAAAGTAACTCAAATAAGATTAATGTTTGTTAATGATGTACCCAAAAATATTTAAAGAAACTCAAGAATGCAAGTAAGGGTTCATCATCTCCAAACTTTGGTTAGGGATTGTTTATCATGTTTCACTGCTCCCTCTAAAATCTTACTTTAATTATTTTTTTTTATATCGATTATGGAAGAATTGATAAAAAAAAATGACTTTATATATTGGTTCAGAAATCAATTAATATAAAAAATACTTTCTATATTGGTTTAAATTTGGACTGATTTAAAAAGTACTTTCAACGTTGATTGTTTAACAACCAATCTTAAAATTTTTGTTATTTTCAAAATTGTCACCACTCTTTTTATTAGATTAATTAGTTATTAATCAGTGTAGAAAGTCATTGTATAGTTAGTTTTTCAACATTAGTGAGTGTGAAAAATGTTAACTCCTAAAGATGACCTTAGTGCAAAGAGTGTCTTGAATTGTTAAGGATTTAATGTGAAAAACACTTGTAACATCCTTTATTTATATATATAAAAAAAATCTCCTTTAAGTATAGAAATATTAATATGATGTGATTAAAATAAGTGAAAGATAAATAAATATAAGAAAATTTTTCGTGTATGTAAAATCTGGATCACCAAAATGGGCAAGATTTAAAATTTTATACATATAAATTTCATTCGTAATAGCATTGAAGATATAATTTTGGATTTATAAATTCACAATTAAAGAAAAGCTAAAATTTTTATATTAATGATTAATTACTAAATATTACACTTGCACTTTGAATCATTATTTAAAATGATTAAATCTTATAATCTCACCTATCAGTGTATTACAACGCATTGATCATAATGGCACCAATCAGTGTATTTGTAACACATGTATTAGTGTCCCTTTCTCTTTTCTCTACACATATTCATCACTTTTCAATTTTCACAATTCCTTTTCTCTTATAATCAATTATATACTTTCTCAGAGATTCTTAAACATTCAGACTTAACCCAACTCACACATATAGGATATGATACCTTTTATATCACTATCATACAACAACAAACTTCTCAATTACGTATATAATCACAAGGTAGACACATATCATCACACAATTCCATACAATATGTCAAGGTCAGACACTTTCAGACTCAACCCAAATCGTGCAAGCTAGAATATATTTGTCGAAGATGATATTCTCTTGGTCTTAATAGAATTTTCTAGCCTAAAGTGCAACATATTTCACCTTTTCACTATTCAACACATACATTAAAAAAATAGTAACTTATCCATAAGATTGTTTAACTTATTCTTAATCGTAACTATTTATGATAAACTATGTCTCAAGTGATTTTAAACAGATCAAAAACCTCTTTTATACCAAAAATTCATTTCAAACTTATTTAGTTTCAAAAAAACTTTATGGATTTACTTTTTAAAATAAGATAACCCTCTTCTTTAAAGATTAATAAACATATTTAGGTAGAACTTAAGGTTCATGAGTAACTCCCTTTACCTGGAAATGGATCTCAAGAATTAAGTTCTTCGTGTACTCTAGAGAGAAACTTCATGTCTCGACCAAAAATACTACCCAAGGACTAGATTTCTTCCTAACATCACAAGGTAGATTTCTATTATAAAAAAGAGAAAAGAGAAATAGGAACGAGATTCAAGGGATGAGCTCTAGAAACTTACTTAGATTTGAGTGGAATGAACTTTGAGCTCAGATCCGAGGGAGATCCAGAGTTATTAGAGGTTTTCTTTGGGAAAAGAGAGGGAGAGAACGAAGAGGATGGAGAGGAAAAGATTATTTGGTTGAAAATGAAAGTTTTAGGATGAAAGTTCTTTAAATATCTCTCAAATTTGCGACTTTCTCGCTACAGCGAGCAACTCTTGCTACAACGGAAAAAACTAGAAAGTTTTCTTTTTTTTGCTATCTGTCATTTTAGCTACAGCGAGAGATACTTGCTACAGCAAGAGGACTCTAGAGAACCTGATTCTGGATAACTTATCTCACTATAACTAGATATCCTACAGTTTACATCAATTAAACACTCCTAATTTCAAATAACATGCACAAATAACTAACATAAATTGTAGTAATAACAAAATGAGGGTGTTACACCCCATAAATTGTAGTAATAATAAATAACAAAATGAGGGTGTTACAACACTAACTCTTGAAGACAATGTCAACATGAAGAGTGCTTTAACTTTAAGGATTTAGCATAAAGAGCATTAAGTTCCAAAGATAACCTTGGAGGAAAATGTACCTTGAGCATTGACCAGAAGGTTAAGAGTAAAGCATATGTTGCTACAATTGTCTCATAAAAACCCACTTAAAACTAACTACTATCACCTTGACACTGTTGCTTAAGTGATCGTGTCAAGATGGGGGATAGTTGGTCTAATGTCAAAACTTAACTTCCACATAAAGTGTAGTGTGTGAAAATCGAAGAAGTATAAGCTAACTTTGCATACAAGCTTCTCATCTTTGGACAATGGATGCTTATTTAGCAATATGAAATTCATGATCATCGATGTTATAAATTGATGGTCATAAGAGAAATTGCAAAAGGCTTTCTAATTCAACCATTGCAAGTACATGAGTAATAAAATATCTTCTAATTTTAAGAATAACAAACCTAATAAGAAATTCTTGTATAAGTGATCAATTGTGTTTCAATCAATCATTGTAAGTTTATAATATGTCTCGTTGAATATGAATTGAGTTTAATTCTATGATTTAAATGATGTTTTGTGATGTTAGGCTTCAATTGACTAATATGAATTTCTTGCTTAATTCTTAGATTTTTTTTCTATATGTTGAGCTTTCCTTCTTTTGCAGGCAATATTTAAAGTTGTAGGCATCAGATTTAGACAATCTTGGTGACACTGAAAAGCTAAGACAGAGACCTACAATTTCTTATGAAATACTTGTTGGCTAATTTGATCGAATCAAGGATAAAAAATGGGCTCAAAGTAAAAACATTGTGTAAATGGACAATATGACCTCTTCTCATTTAATTGGGCATATCTCACTCAATTTAAATCCAAATAAAACAAATAATTTTCAAATTGGTTTGGTCAATTTATATTTAACAATATATATATATATATATATAAATGGGGCAGAATTATTTTATACCAGTGTAAGTCTAAAAATTTTTACACTCAATCTGAGCCATTTATTTAACTTAAATTTAACGGGTTATAATTTATTACTTCACTGACCATTAGATTTAAGTTAAATGAAAGACTCATGGTGTAAGAATTTTTAGACTTACACTAGTATAAGAAAATCCTTTCTTTATATATATAAAATAAAACTGCATTAGTATATTTTACACTGACTCTTATACTATTAATTATTTAATATAAAAAATAATTTTTATCAATTTATTCATTTAATTATATTATATATTATATAAATTATTTGTATTGAATTATTTCAAAATTTAACATGTATAAAATTGTTATCAAAATGTTCTTATTTTTATAAATTTTAAAAGTAAATATTACGTTAATTTTAATATATATGAACAAGATATTAAATAATTTTAAATTAATATTAAATTATATATATATAATCTATGTGATTAGAATTTTTGGTCTAATAGTTAGTTTTAAGATTAAATTATCTAACAAAAAATTATTAAGTAAGTATAACTTACACCTATGCTTAAAATTACATTAATATAAGTTATATTTATTTTTATACTGTTGGATTAAAAGTTTCAATCACATAAATTATATACATACAAAAATTTAAATTAATATAAAATCATTTGATATCTTATTCATATATATTAAATTAACGTAATATATACATTTAAAATTATTGAATAATAGATTAACTCACAAAAAAATATTCTACCTTAATTTGTAGTCTCAAAGTTAAGTTTGAAATTATTTTTATAGCTATTTACTTCAAAAAAAATTAACACATATAATTAAGATAATATATAATTATAATTTAACAATTACATCAACACAAATTATATTTATATAAATAGTATAAGAATAATTGAAATTTATTTATTTATTTATTTATGTTAATAGGTAATATGATATGACTATGCTATAGGGAAAAATATTAAAATTTTTATCAAACTAAAACCTACTTTATTTAATTGTAGGCTCCGCTGTTTAAAATTAATAAAATCAACGTCATTTTCGTTTTAATATAGAAATCTGACGATACTTATCAACATAAAATAATAAAAATCCTTTTGAAAGTAGCAGTGGCATTGATATAGGAATTTTGCCGCCCATTTTGAAAGAAAACCCTGGCTGGTAATCGAAAAATCAGTAGCAGTAGCAGGCAACAAAATGAGTTCTCCCATGGAGGCAGAGCTCACGACAGATGAAAATGGCACAGATTCGGAACTCCACTTACTTCATTCTTCTACGCTTCCCGAGGACAAAGTTCTTCTCCCTGGTTCGCTCACTCTCGCTCTTACTCTACTCTGCACATTCTCTTTTTCTAAACCAATCTAATTAATTTTGCTTCCAGTTGAGGTATGCCTCAAACCTTCCAGCACAGCTAAAATCCAAGATGTTCGTTCTGCTGTTGAGGGGTAATTTGCGAATTAACTTGTTTTTTTTTTTTTTGTGATATTACCTAATTGAACTTCAAATTTTTTTTGCTGGCGTATTTATGCCCAACACACTTGTTTTTTAGAATGCTTGAAAAGAGGAGTTTGAGCTATATTGATGGACCCATTCCTGTGCCTCTTGATGAACTGTTTCTCGCTGATAACGTCCAAAGAATTTGCGTTTGTGATACTGGTATGCTATTTGTTTGTTTAGGGTTTTACAGTGGCAGGAAATGAAATGAAGATTGATTTGATTACTTTTACTATTTGTTTTTTTAATCTGACCATCAAGATTTTTGGTCTCTTAGAAAGTTGAATTGGGTGTTTTAGCATTTAGCATAGCAAAATGGAAGATTGGTGTTGAAAGGACAATAATAACTAAATTTTCCTCTTCACATTTCGAAGCAATAATTCAATCTCGAGAGAGAGATCTGTTTCTGCTTCTCTGATTCTGATGTTGGTAATGTTTATTTCTTTTGCAGATGAAGGGATGCACAACGATAATGTTCTTTTGTTCTGGCAAGTCAAGCCTGTTGTACATGTCTTTCAGGTGACACGGATGCTTTGATATTTTTGCCTATGTATCGCAGTCCCAGTTTTCCTTGGTTCCCATATCCTTGCCTGTGCAATATATTCACTGCATATATGGCCTTGTAGCTTCTTCTGTTCTATTTATTTTATTATATTTTATTTTTTCTCATTGTAAATTGGTCATATGATCTTCACATATATTAGTTAAAGAACCATTCAAGTTCTTGACTATGCAATGTTTCACTATATACCAATATCACGTTCCCTCAGTTTGTAATTGTAACTTTAGTTTAGAATCTCTTTTTGATGTTTTTATTTTCTGTTCAAGTGAACCTTAGAATTTCATGAATATTGTCTGACTTTTGCTTTGTCAGCTTAGCGAGGAAGGACCATGTGAGGATATAAGCTCTGATGGCCAGTCCTCTAGCTTCAATGAATGGATACTTCCTGCAAAAGAATTTGATGGCATGTGGGAAAGGTAATTACTTCTTACTTCTTAGTAGTTTATTATGCTTTTTCTCTACTAATTCAATACTGTATTATTTTTCCTATAATTGATTATATAATTCTAAATTGTTTACCCTGCACTATCAACTATTGTTTTTGCAGCTTAATATATGAATCTGGTCTAAAGCAACGGTTGTTACGTTATGCAGCAAGTGCGTTGCTCTTTACTGAGAAGGGTGTTGATCCATTCCTTGTTTCGTGGAACCGGTAAGCAGTGCAAATTTGGTTTTTGACCAAGCTCAATGGCATTGTGCAATTCATTTAGCCGACCTTACTTAGTGAGATAATGCTTAATTGTTGTTGTTGTTGGCTTTAATTTTCTGTGTATGGTCTTCAATTCTGAAGCTCTATTTTATGACTGCATGGTGATCTGATGTTGATGTCCCTGATGTTGATATTTGCAGCATAATTCTGTTGCATGGACCTCCTGGGACAGGAAAGACGTCTTTGTGTAAAGCATTAGCTCAGAAACTATCAATTCGATTCAATTCAAGGTGCACTGATCTATTATCAATACTTTTTTAATACTCTTAACCATATTTTCCAATGGAAACAAGTAAATTAAAGGAACAAATTCAACTTAACCGTTTTTTTTTTTTTGCCACTCAGATACCCACAGTGCCAACTTATTGAAGTGAATGCACATTCTTTGTTCAGCAAATGGTTCTCTGAAAGTGGCAAGCTGGTATGCATGTGTGCCTTTATTTTTGGTTTCTGCCTCTTTCTGTCTTTAATAGATTTGCATATGGATTATGGACTTCTCTATAATTCATGCTTCTATTGCACATCCTGTAAAGTAACATACTCCAGGCATAGAATTTCCTTTAGTTATCATTGCCACCTTCAAGTTGATATCAAATGAGATCAAAGGATTGCTTGACTCAAGCTAGGAACACCCACTGTTAGGTAGTGTAGAATTGCATCCAGGAGATGTGAAGAAATTTCTTCATTTATCGGTTAGGGAAGAGTCCAGACATTTGTGTGTTTGGGCAGTGTTTCCAGCTAGATCTTTTCCTATATCACCAGAGACAAAGTTGTTTGTATACCATTCTACCTCCATAGTGCATATGATGGATATGACTGTCTACTTGACTGATACATTCATGAGAGCAACATTATACTGGGAAGTAAATTTAATTTGAAGTATCTTTTTCTTATTGTTCTCCTGGACTAACAGAATGTATTCAACAACAAAATTTGAAAAAAGAAAAAAAGTGTTCCCTATGGTTGCCCATACAGATACATAGTAGTACCACAACCATTTATAAGTAGTTGTGACATAGTTGATGGGTCTCCAATTCTCCATTCTTTATAGATATAGAAGCTAGGCAACTTTGTTGCAATATTAGCCTCTTTGGCTGTCTGTTTCCGTACTGTTTGAGACCAGTTCATTCTATTAGAGTCATAAACTGAATAAGTTCTCAATTAATTTTAATCCGAAAGTCCCACATAGCATTGAGTATCATTTCACTATATCCATATTCCAATTTATGGATTTCCGAACCTTAACGATGCACTATACATGAACTGTTTTTTGTATGGTTTTGTTACATTCAATCCGTAATTGTGTTTCCTTGTTTTCTAGGTAGCAAAACTTTTCCAAAAGATTCAAGAAATGGTAGAGGAAGAAAGCAATTTAATATTTGTATTGATTGGTGAGGGCCGTGAGGCATGACAGGATAAAATTTAACTTAATGCTCATGTCTGCTTTAGTATATATGCTTATGATCCTGCACTCCCGCTGCAGATGAAGTTGAAAGCCTTGCTGCTGCAAGAAAAGCTGCTTTATCTGGTTCTGAACCTTCAGATTCTATTCGGGTAAAACCCTCCTTCCGGTCATGTCATTCTTGCAGGAATAAGCTCCCTTCCTCCGCACTATTTATGAAGATGTTTAGATTGTTGCAAAAACATGTAAAATTGTAATTTAGAAATTCAGAGGCCTTGGCTATTATTTTTGGGTGTTTGTGCATTAATACAAGTTCAATCTGAATATGCATCTCAGGTTGTCAATGCATTGCTAACTCAGATGGACAAGTTAAAATCATCTCCAAATGTGATAATTCTAACCACATCCAACATAACTGCTGCTATCGGTAAGCTTTACTTTCTCATTCATTCAAGTAAAATTTGTGGCTTTTTCCCTTTTAAGTCATGCCCTTCCGTCTCCCATAAATTTGAATAGTTAGATCTGCTTAATTTAGAGTACATTAGCCTACTTTACAAGTGAAGAACTGTAGATGTGCCTTCCCGATATGTGCAGGGAGTGAATTTCTGTATTTTATGATTTTATCATGATTTCCGCGTAGTTATAAATAATGGGCTACACTAGCGCTTTTGCAGAGCAACCAGAGTCTTTTACAAAATTTGAATAGCGGAGCATTTATGGTGGTGGTAGAGTAAATTTTTTCAAAAGACTCATTTTTTCCCTCAAATAAGCATTGTTTTGGAGTTTTTTTAGGGGTAACATTGATATTTCTCTTTCCCATATCAGAATTTAAAAATTTCTAATTGGATATAGTTTCCCATGCCTCTATCGACCACCCACCCAGCCACCCTGCAGCTAGCAATATTGTTTTGTTTTTTTTATTTTTTTTTATTTTATTGTTTTTTACTCGAATGTTGCTTAAGACTTATATGACCTTTCATTTTTAATTATGAATGTCATGAATTTTGAGTATATTTTTAATTTTTAAGCATTTATATATAGTATAAAATATTTGATTTGTATATAAAAATTTAAATAGCTGTCATCCTGCCATGCTATTATGCTATAGGATCTTTTGCGGTGGAAGTAGGAAGCCAGCACCCCGTACAACGGTTTTTCCACACCCACTGCTTACCTGTTTAGGGAAAAGTCAAGTTGAAAATAAAGCACTAACCTCTGTTGATAGCATATGCATTATAACAACACTATGCACAGATTTGAGATCAAAATTACCCAATATAAAACACATCACAACAAAAGTCGTTTTCCAATAGGTGGAAACATCACTCCTCTCATGTCTTGCTAAATATTTTATTCAATATCCATCACTAAAAATTTCATTTGAAACGCATGATTTAACATGTTGTAGATCATACAAATTGACCAATTTTATTGCAGATATTGCTTTTGTTGATCGAGCTGATATCAAAGCATATGTTGGTCCGCCAACTCTTCAAGCTCGGTATGAAATATTAAGGTCGTGCTTGCAGGAATTGATGCGTACAGGGATCTTGACCAAGGTGCAGAGAGTCCTTAACTTCGTCCAACAAATATAATTGAAAACAAGAAAAGTATCAATATTTTAATCTTTATTTAGGTTCCAACATTTTGGCTTGTTAGTCTTATGGCTAATTATTATGAATTGATTAGAATTGTAAAAACGTCATGCTTCCAAATTATGCTAATGCAAAGGAGAGGTTGAACACGCCAGATTTTCAAGATGGTGCCATATTCATGCAACTGAGCAAGCAACTACTTGAAACTGCGGAGGCTTGTGAGGTAGGAAAAATAATTCTTGTGGATCTTGAACCTCAATCTTTTGGTTGTCCTTTAATCTTAACAGATGTGTTTGATCTGTTTACAGGGAATGAGTGGAAGGTCTTTGAGAAAGCTTCCATTTTTGGCACATGCAGCGCTTGCAAATCCTTATGATTGCAACCCTATTAAGTTCTTATGTACAATGATAGAAACAGCAAAGAGGGAGCGTTCTGAGCTTCCTGACTAAAATATCTAGTTTTAAATTTTAAAATGTGTAAATCAAAAGTGTAACGCTTGCGCCTACTACATTTTAGTCCGATAAATGTTGATGCAGCAGTGCTGTTTATTTATTAGAATGCACTAGTCAGAGACATAGCCCTTTCGAAAAATCATTGAACTACTTGAAAATCACGATTGAGGGAAGAAAATAATTGCAGGGAAAAAATGATGTTTGGTTGTTTCAAACCAAATTTTCTTTTCTTCCTAAAATTGACTAAAAATATGCAGGAGTAAATTTTGCATGGGGTTTAAAACATTAACCAAAATCGAAATGAAAAACTAGTTTACTATAATTAAGATAAAATTTTTAAAATATGGATATAATCATTTCAAATTTTTTTTATAATTAAATAGTATCCTTAATTCGTTTAGGCTCACAGGATCGATATTTGGTAAACTTGAGGGTTCTTTTCATGAGTTAGTTGATAGGTAATGGGACCTGCATGTTTTATAAGAGGACCCATCGTGCTGAGTTTTGCTTGCAGTCAATCTAATACTGCGGTATTTTCAATGGAGCACTTGACGATGCGAGCGTGTGGAAAACAGTACATAAAACATACCATGATAACAAATATGGTATCGTGGATCTTTCTGGGCCTTATTCAATATTGGACACTGGTAAGTGACAACCCTCAACTTTGCTTAATATTTTTGTGAAGTTTGTCTCAAAAATCAGTTAAACTCAATTGCAGTGCTACGTTTATTTTGAGTGAGTTTGTACGTAAGTTTTTACAACAGAAGATAAATAATATGAAATTTTAATAAATTTTTTATAAGTTAAAAATAACTTATTCAAATTTTAGAGAAGTTAAATAAAAAATAAAGAAACATAAGCTGATTTTAATTTATCAAAGGAGTTTGATTATTTTACTACTTAATTAACTCTCATAATTACTTATTGAGAAGTTTAGCTTAAGTATTATGATGCACAGATTAGGGTTGTAATTACCATTCAGCAATGTTTTGGTGCAAATAATTAGTCATCCTAGGTGTGTTTTAGTAGAAATTATAGATTGCTACCTCTAACCGGTACTTTTAGTTGCAATTAAGGGTATTTTATAAGTCATCCTAACTAGGTTACTAACTATTTGGCTAGTAAATTTATTTAATGGAAGTAATGATATTTAATAAAAAAAACTATTTCGTTAATTTATATTATTTTTTGGTTTTAATTATAAAAATAAATATTTAATTTAGTAAAATCAACAAAAAGTAATCATACATCAATTTCAAAAATATCTATAAAATACTAAACGGTCAAATAGGTGTCCTGTTAAATGAATAAAGATAATAACTTGTATAAGTAAATAGTGAATATTTTATTAACATAAATCTTACAATAAATAATGATATAAAAGAATTTAGTAATTAATATAACTGAAAATATGTCTTTGTTTTGAATAATTAAGACAAAAAAATGTATTAAAGGTTGGATTTATGTTAATTATTTTATTTATTGTATTCTTTAATATTATATTATTTATGTTAATTGTTAAATAAATGATACTATTTATTATTATTCTTTTAATATTACATTTTATCTTTGTAAAAAATAATGAGCTTAAAAATAAGAAATAAAATTTAAAATTTTAATTATCTAAAATATATTTTTTCTATTGTGAAATTAGTGTAATTATATGTTACTATTCCTTTTGAATTGTGTTGCATATACCTAAGTGTATGAATTTTCATATGTCGGAATGTATATATATAAAGGTTGTATGTTTGCTGAATTAGAAGGAGTGTGATTGTTGTGCCGTGTGATCATGTTGAATACAAAATACAGTGTGAGTTGAAGAATGATTATTAAGTGTGCTGTATGTAGAATAATTTAGAAAATATGGTTAAGAGTTAGTATTATTTCTCTCAGGAGAGAAATTTAGAATCTGGGTGTAGGGTATCTCGCTCAAGTTAGATCAATCTCGCTTAAGTGAGAACAGATAGGATTGCCTCAGCTGTAACCTTGCCTAGACGAGAAGGAATCTTGCTCAATTAAGAAGTGTGCTCGCTTAAGTGAGGTGTCACAAGAGTAATAGATAGCTCATACACGCAATCTCACCTAAGCGAGAATGTTGTTCGCTCAGGCAAGATATAGCTCATTCAAGCGATGTGTTGTTCGCTCAAGCAAGAATATAAAAAATTTGAGAGGTTTCACTGTTTGATTTTTTCGCCCAGGCGAGAGCAGATCGCTTAAACGAGAAATATCTCACTTAAGTGAGAGCGTGCAGGCTGGAGAGGTATTTAAGAGGACTCAGCATCCAGAAACTTCATTTTCTCACCAGACAACTTTTTTCTCTCTATTCTCTCTCTTATTACTTTTAAAGAAAACTTTCCTAAAGCCAAATTTCTCTCTGATCAAAGCGAGATCTTCTATTTCATTGAGATCTAAGTGAGTTCTTGAAACTTTATTTTCTATCTTTACTTTGTTTGTTATCCCTCTTTCTTAAGTGACTTATACCCTATCGTTTTGAGTAGATCTGAGCCGTTTGAATGGTATTTCATATTCAAACGCTTGATCTATCCCTTCAAGACTTACTAGAAGTTGATTTGAAAAAAACTCATTCTAAGTAAGGGGAGCTTACTCTAGTTAGCTTGATTTAATAAGCTAATATCGAAAGGTATAAATACACACACACACATATATATATAGGATAAAACCTAGGGTAAATATGATTGAGTTGTTTGATTATTGTTGATGAGTGAGATAAACCAGATTTGTTTTGTGATGGAGTTTTCTACTGTATTATTCAATGGTATAATATTTATAAGGTTGAGAAAACTGTCAAGAAGATGTTGTATATCATGTTGAGATCGATTGACAAATGTTATGAATAATATGTTTTGATGTTGATTATGTGATGTTGATAAAATTGTATGGAAATAGTGGTAGGTATATGTACTAGATAGTAGGCCAATGTGCTGAGTGGTAAGCAAAAGTGTCAAATAGTAGGTTCCTTCTGGATTCACTAGTGATGTGATATCAAATAGAACTGAGTTGTTGTCATTATGATTATTGTAATGGTTTATTAATATTATTTTTATCATCGTAATTTGTTGGCATTCAAAAAGTTAATATAAAGAAGTGGTATTGCAGAGTAAACGTTGAGGAATTATTGAATGATGAACTATATGAATAATTAGATTTATTTATTTCTCTATAATATTGTTTGTTATTATGTAAGCTCACCCTTGATATTTTGTGTGTGATAGGTGTGTCTGACAATGATCGTACTGTGGTACGTGAGCAAATGTGACAGGTTTTGCGGCTATTTCTCATGCTAGAAGGTTCAGCTGAGAAAAGCATGAAGTCTAGAGTTTTGTGGAGATTGTAAATTTTATTTTATTAGTCTAGGTCTGTTTAGAGGCTTTAGACTATTTAATTACAGTATTCGATAATGTAAATGTAATTATTATTATTCAAAAACATGTTTTTTAGCTCCTTGTAGAGCAATCTTGGTGTATATATATATATATATATATATATATATATATATATATATATATACATATTTATGTAAATTATTGTGTTTTATAAAAATGCATTGGAGCATTGTTATTTTGTTGAATGAGATATTGAAATACGAGTTAAAAATAATAATAATTTTTTACCCTAATCTATGAGTATATTATTCTATAAATAAATAATGAAATCAGAAACAGTAAAGTGAAATGTCATTGATCCTTTATAATAAAAAATTAGGTAATGACATCTATAAAATAAAATATATAAATAACATAAATATATTCTTTGTGTCTTTTTTATAATTATTATCCATTTCAATAATTAATTATATATAAAAAATGCCCTTCTATTTTTTTCTAAACACAACCTAAGTTGGGAAAAGGGCAAGGGAAAGAATTTTGAACCAAATTACTCACTGAAACAAGCGTTGAGGAAGCACTAGTATTTATTAAGACATTTTAGATCATATCAGTTAAGCATAGTTTTTGAAAAAAAAAAGTCTAGAAAATTATAATTGAGGAAGCACTAGTATTTATTAAGACATTTCAGATCAGATCAGTTAAGCATAGTTTTTTAATCTAGAAAATTATAATTTAAAAACTGTCAAATACTTGTAAAGGTATATATAGTTTATTAAAAATACTATTTTAAATTTTTAAAAAAATATTCTAACACTTTTGAGTGTTAATATACTTCACTTTTTTTATTATTTTAAGAATGACCATTTTAATTTAAGTAATAAATCAGATTTATTAAAATGATTAAAAAAAAATACTACTTAATATACTTGTTTTGAATAAACAAGAGTTTATTAGTACCCCCTTGAACAAATGCAATTACCTTATTACTCATTATTTTATTTTTTTGAGAGATGAGCTTGAAATTTTGAATAGAAAAAGGTGCAAAAGAATTTTCTTACACAATTAACTTCGCAAAACATGATCATGTTTTTTGTGCTTCTTTATGTGGAAGATGCTTTGAAAAAATGTTCATGGATTATATATTGAATTTCTTCATTTCTGACTTCATGTTATTTTCTTTTCAAATATACTTTTTAGTTATGCATTCTTTCTTATAATTTATTGGGTTCTATACCAATTTCCATAATATTTTTCTTTCAGTTACACTTTTCTAATTTACTATTGTTTGTAAGTTAATTATTAGTTTTAAATTAGCTAAAAAAATATGATATCTTATTCTTCTTTATTTTATCACTTTTATATTTTGTAATAAAAATACATTGTAACGAAGAATGAGCATAACCGATAAAAAGATGACAAAATGTCAACAAAATTCGTCACAATTAATATGTATGAGAAATTTCTTTGTTGAGATTTTGGGAAAGTAACACTTTAATTATATCTACATGTCAAAAGACGTTAGTCTTCAATTGTCAGAGATATCCTTAACCCGTACTTAAAAGAAAAGAAAAGAAAAATAAAGAAAAGATGATAAAATATATATCCTTAGAAAACTTACAGAATAAATTATTATAAAACAAACAA